GACTGCAATGTTGGGCCAAAATGAAGCTCCAAAAAAGACTAGTCAAAGATCTTTCATAGGCTTTGGTTAAAGTTGAGGCCATTACATAATTTGAAACTCGAAGATCCAAACCTTCCAAATCAAAGCCAATACCCAAGGGAAATGGTGGGGAGATAAGGAGAGATCAACCAATATGGAATCCGAGAGGCCTTCAAGAATGCCAAATAACAAAAAACAAAGATTTTAGAAGCCATGGGAGAAGAATAATAAATCTCTCAAGTGTTTCAAGTGTGGAGGGAAACACTATGATAAGTTTTGTTTGTATAATGAGATAGTTGCTGCTATCCAAGAAAACGATGCTCGAGAGAAGACTTCTAATATTGGTTCCATCATTTGTTCTATGGAGACCAAGAAAGGGCACACAAAGAAGGGGTTGATGTTTGTTGATGTCAACGTGGCATGTCATAAGTTGAGTGCACTAGTTGACATATGTGCCTCAGAATTGTTCATGTCCGAGCAGACTGCCAAGAGACTTGACCTTCGTGTGGATAAGGCATGAGGGTTTATCAAAACAATCAATTGCAAAGAAGCTTCGATTGATGGGGAAAAAAAGTAGTTGATCTTAGTATTGGAGATTGGAATGGTAAGAAAACCATCAAGGTTATCCCATTAGATGATTTTTATTTTATGATTGAGCTTAGTTTTCTTGATCGTATTAGCGTATTCCTTGTACCATGTCAAAACTGTTTAGTGATTATTGACCCAAAGTCAATGTATTGTTCCGGTAAACTGAGGTTCTAGAATTGAGGCTAAGATGTTATCGACTATTCAGTTTGCAAAGGTGATGCGCAAGGAGGAACTGACCTTTTTGGCATCTTTAGTTGTTGATGAGGTTGCCAAGGTGGACCAAATCTTAGAGGAAGTGGGGCAAGTGTTAGCTAAATTTTGTGATGTGATGTCTTCAAAATTGCCGAAGAGTTTGCCTATGAATATGGAAGAAGATCACAAGATTGAACTTGTACCGAATGTAAAACCAACTTTCAAGGTCCCTTACCGAATGTCTCCATCTGAATTGGAGGAAGTATGGAGACAATTGATAGAACTCATCGATGATGGATTCATCAGCCCATCCAAATCACCCTTAGTGCCTCGATTCTATTAAAAAAAGCATGATGGGTCGCTTCGGATGTGCATCGATTATCGAACTTTAAATAAGCTCACAATAAAGAATAAGTATCCATCCCTTTGATTGACGACTTGTTTGATCAACTTGGTGGTGCAAGGTGGTTCACCAAGTTGGATCTCATATCTGAGTATTATCAGGTCAGAATTGGTGAAGGATATGAAATGAAAACAATATGTGTGACGCACTATGGTTCATATGAATTTTTGGTGATGCCTTTCGGTCTCACAAATGTTCCTTCCACTTTTTGGGCTCTCATGAACAAGGTATTACAGCATTTTTTAGATAATATGTTTTTACCTTGACAACATTGTTATTTATATCAAGTCACTTGAGGAGTATGTGGAACACTTGAGGAGCATGTGGAACACTTGAGAAAGGTGTTCAAGGTGTTAAGAGAGAACAAGCTCTATTTGAAACAAGAGTCATTTGTTATAATATAAAATTGTGATAAATTTGGGATCAAACCAAATCGAAAGCAAATGATCAAGCTAAAACGTAGTGATGTTGTATTTTGACTTGTATATAAAGTGTCAATGTGATTGCAATGCATCCATAATATTATACATGGATGTTTATACGTCAATAGGAAGACTTGCGATAAGTTTATCTTATTCATATTGACATGATTTTTATGTCATTTATCATATATTTGACATATGCTAAATATGTTAAAGGTTGAATATAAAATGCATTGATAACTGGTTATTATATATGATGTTTATCATGAATATATATGATGTTTGTTGTGAATGTTATTTCGGGTATGTACTACCCCAAAGTTAAATTATATTGATATACATTGCCATGGATGGAATAAAAAAATAGAATTATATGCCTAAGTAAGTCTTTGAGGGACAAGGCATGTCATAAAATCCAACATAAGGGCTACATACATGGATTAACTCTAAAGTGTATACCCAAGACACTTAGTGCAGGTGGTGGGCACGACCTTATGTGTCATAGTACTAGTGTGTATACCCAAGACACTTAGTGCATGTGGTGTGCACGAACTTATGTGTCATAGCATTACGATGCATGTATTTGACTCGAATACCCAAGGTCCTCAAGGTTTAAATTGGGTTATGGTTTATTGGTTAATAATTGATATACATGTGAATAAGCCTATGAACATATGGTATAAATGGCGAGTATATTGGTTTATTGGTATTTATGTGTTGCATTGCCTTGAATATTTCTATGATTGTCTCACTAAGTGTATACTTAGCCTATGATGATTTTCACGCGTAAGTAAAAGATAGCGAGAGGAGTAAGGAGTTGAGCTTGTCATCAATCACCAAGGAATATTTAAAGGTAACAATAATGACATTCTATTTTGTTCTAAATTTTCTAGTTGACATGTATACATAAAAGAAATGTCTGCAAAATTATTAATGTAGTTAGTATTAAATATTAGTTAAGTGGATTTAGAATCAGATAGTTTTAGAAAGTTATATCTATTATATGGAACAGAGCAGAACTACCTATTACTACCTAAAACCATATTTGAAATAGAAGTTGAAATATTATATTTTAATTTTCTCTAATTAATTATTTTATTATAAATGTTAAGAATTGGAAATTTTTGAAAGGAACAAAATTTTACCCATTTAAGTTGAGAAGTATTTTGAATAGTTAATGTGACATGTTTGACTCCTAATAGTTCAAAAAAAAAAAAGTCTGCATTCATATTACCTTTTTATTTAAATACTTTTTTATTTAAAATATATTAATGTTAGTGATAGTAATTAAAATTATCTTTGTATTGAATGATAATTAATTTTATAAATATTGATTAATTAAATTCCTTATGTAAAAATTTATCCTTTAATTACCGTAAAAGTTAAAAAAATAAATTTAAGAATAATTTGACTTATACTTAAAAGTGAAATCATTTTAGTTTAAACAATTATTGGGTCATCTTAATTCTATAGCCTTTAAGTTTTTCCAAAAATACACATTCTATTAGATAAGTAAATTGATTTAAAATCATACTCGATGATTTTAAAATGTTTATGTGATGATTTTATAAAATTAGAAAATGATGTTTTAAAATTGATGTAAAAGTATTTTAATATAACAAGTGTCTCGCCTATACAAGGCATGCACCTTCGCCTTACACTTAGGTTTCTGGGACCTTTTAACTCATGATCCTGCTCCTTTTAAAATTAAAGATTGTACCAGCGTCTTTGATTGCATTTATTATTTTGATTGCAGCTTCGCATGCTCATCAAGCTCCCCGAGTTATTACAACATAAAAAAAAAAGATAATGAATATTGTCAAATGGATTGAGAATATTCAAACATATATTACTTAGATTAATAAAAAAAAAAGTTTTAGAGAAAAGATGAATTGGTGAGAAGATAATGAATATGTGAGAAGATAAATGAGTGTTATAAAGAAAAGAATCAATTTTAGAGAAAATATGAATTGATGAGATTTTAGAAAATATAAATATTATTTTTAATATAGTTTTAAAATCTATTTTTAATTATAATGTTATAATATTTTTTTTATTAATATGGGGTAAGTGTAAGAATATATATATATATATATATATTATGGTGCTTAAACTCGGGTTCTTAAGAAATATTAACAATTCATTTACTACGGAGTCTATTTGATTTATGCTATTAAAATATTTTTAAATTTTATCAAAATTTTATTATATATTATTGATTTGTTTATTTATTTGATAAAGAATTTAATAAAACAATATCTACCTAGACTAATTGAATACTGTTTACTTAATTTAAGGATAATCTGTCCCACGTATAAGAATTTGCCGCGTTTTTTATATTTACAAAGAAGGGCTGAGCGGTTGTGATGATCCGGTTTCCCTCCAAGTTGCAGTATAAATGAGGGTTTACCCAAAACCTAAATCCCATCTCTGTAATCTCTTCACTCTTCAATGGCTTTCTGGGGGGGGGGGGGTTTAGCTTCTTAAACTCTTTGCTCTCTTTTTCTTCTTGGTTTCTTTTTCTTTTTCTTGTAAAAGTGAAGCTACGGTTAACATTTTCCAGGAACCGAAGTGAAACCTGGGAAGTCCTTCACTCATGCACCTCTCTATGGAAGGCTTCATATATCCCAGGTACTTATTTTTAAACTTTTCTATTTTCCCTTATCTGTTGTGTTTAATGCGTGCTTTTCAATTTTCCGATATCAAAATTTTTGAAAAAAGGGCATAAATATGTTTTGTCAGGCGACATTAGGAATGGGTAGTGGAGTTCAGAAAAGCATAGTTAAATGTAATGTTGGACATAGTAAGCCGGTATTTCTGTGTAGTTTGTTTCCTGATATGGCAGAGTGTTGTCAACTCAATTTGGAATTCGAGGAATCTGTTGAAGTCGTTTTCTCCGTTATTGGTCCTCGAGCTGTTCATCTTACTGGTTAGTATCTGGGCTCTTCTTCCCTTGATCGTCATCACAGTGATGGATCGTATCCTTTTGTTTTTAAGTTTCTGAATTTACTTCGTGTTATTGGGTTCTTTCCTGTTGTTTCCCTTCACTATGTTGCTTAGAGAACCCTATGGAGAAGATATTGCAGACACCGAAACAGAACTGATCAAGAGTAGTGAAAAAAGCGAGTATGGCGGTAGTTTTATTGACGATGATAATGATCCACAAGTCTTCTCGTCTTCTGAAGAATCTCCTGCTGGGTTTGGATGTATGTCTCACCACACCTCTTACATGGAAATTTTGACCATTTGTCCATTAAATTTAGCCTTTTTTGTTATAAGGGAACAATAATCATAATTGATTCTGGTTAGATTACATCTGAAATTATTATCTTTCTAATTTAAATGTCTTTTTTTTTGGTGTATGAATTCAGCAAATGAAGAAATGCGGGGCTTAAAGTTTAAGGGTCGCATAGGAAAGCGTAGGAGGCTTAGGAAAAAGTACCAGAAAAGTGAATCTGATAATGGAAGTTCTCAGCAAAAGGATTTCACCAATGGTTTTTATCCTAGGGAATTATTTGACAGTGAAACTGAAAATACATTGCCTATTTCCTCACTGTTTTCAGGAAAATGTGCATCAAAGAGCGGAAAAGACGATATAGGTGGAGAATCTAGGAAAGAAACTGGTAACCATAACAATAACGAGATTGAAGATAATGCTACCATGTTAGAAGGAATTAATGGTGTTCAACTTGAATGGTACTATTTCTGTATTTCTTTGACAAGAACAATGATGAACTTAAATTCAATAGCTAAGTTAACCATGTTGAGAAGAGGATCTACGGGTGCAAACTATCATCTGTTTTAACATATGGCTGTTTGCTTCTTCAATCATTGTTTTTGAATTATATTTGATTGTGTTGTACTTTTTTCTATTCCGTCCTGCTTGCAGTAAATCAGGGATTAGGAATGTAGATAAGCTTGAAGAGCTGGTCAGGGAGGAAAGATTACCGGAAGCTGATCATTGAGTGGTTGAAAAAGTGGTATTGGAGCAAAATGACCAAAATCAAAAGCTGGCCAGTAATGAGTCCGTGATATACTCTCTTTAGAGAATTATATGTTGCATGAAATCTGTGCTTCCATGATTGTTGATTTAGTTGTGTCATTTGTAGCAGTTGTCTTGTTAGTAACAACTGCTATCTGATATACTGTAGGATATGTCAATCTGTTGACTTGAATGACAAGAGCACTAATGATCGGGAAATTCAGCTGTCGAACGAAATTATGATTGAAGAGTTAGAAAAGGGAAAACCAAATGGGAAAATAGCTTCTCTTGGTAAAAAGGCATGTAGTATTTTATCCCAGGGGTTTCATTGGATGAAAGGAATTAGTATTTTTTCACCTTTGCTGCTAAATTATTCACAAAGTTTTGTTGCTATCAAGTCCGTGTCCATTACACCGTAAAGTTGAAGGACAGTGGAGAAGTAATTGATTCAAGTGCTGACAAAGGTCACTTAACGTTCCGACTAGGTAACATCTTTTTCTTTAATCATGCTCTGTAAATATATTGTTGTGTGTTCAATGTTTAGTTTTGATCAAATTAGATTCTTCTGCAAATATATTTGGTTTTAAACTTTTTGAGTTGGACTTGTATCTTTGTTGTTATCACAGTTGAGGGACAAGTTCAAGAGACATGGAAGGTTGGCATTGATGGTATGAACCTTTGTCTTTTGAAGTTGCTTATCACTAAGTTGTTGGGGTTTAAATTATATATGTAATGATTTAAATAATGATGATTGGTAGGTGTCAACATACTTTTTTGTTCAGGTAGAACTCACTCAACCATGACAATTCAACAACCCTGATTTAGTAAGATTTGGAAAATAAACCAACGTATTTTAAACACTAAAAACTGAGGCATTTGAGTCCAAGTGAGACTCTAAAACGTTTTTAAAAATAGCCAATTACCATGTTATTTAAACACAAGCAAGGGGAAGGAATTTCAGTAGAAAGGGAAAAAAAAGGCAAATAAAATAAGAGAAAGAGGAGACTGCCATTTTCGGTAAACACTCGCTCCCAGTTAGGGGTGTGCAAATCCGGATACCCGAAACTTTCGGGTCGACGATTTCTCGGCCCGTGTCCCGACACGGATGTTACGGGTACCCGGTAATCGGGTACCCGGATTTTGCAGGTACCCGGTAATCGGGTACCCGATACCCGGTTTTTAATTTTTTATTTTCAAATTATTAATTTTAAAAAATATATACACAAATTTAAATATTCGAAACTTCAAATTACATACTCTAATATCCGAACATAAAATTTAAAAGTTCGAAATACAAAATATAATAATCCATAATATAAATAATTCATTATATTTTATATAATTATATATATAAAAAAAAAAACTAACCGGGTACTCGGGTAACTAGGTACCCGGAAAAACTAGATTTTGTGACCCGGGCTCGACCCGGCCGGGTAATTTTTTTAGAGAAATACCCGGTTTTTTTAGATCCGGGTCGGCGGGTCGGGTCAACCGGGTCGGGTAATTTTGCACACCCCTACTCCCAGTGATCGGAGGGTCCATTCGACGATCCGAACGGTTGAAAGACTCCCAAGATGCCGTAGAACAACATACTTTAAAATCAAGCCAATCCAATGGTGGTGGATAGCGAATCAGAGAGGGGAAATCGTTTGTCAACGCAAAAGGACCGGAACGGGAAGGTGGAAAACAGGCGCTCTTGAACTGAATTCGAGTAATTATCTCAAAAACCTTCAGCTTTCGTCTTTTGCTGCGGTACTTCCTCGTCTGCCTTTTAATGTTGCCGGAAGACAGATGAATCATTGAATATGAGTAGGTGTGGGATGATAGCTATAAAGCTCAATTTACATTCTTGCTAGGTAGCACGTTGTCACGGACTTAAACTCTCAATAAGCCTCGTGTGGCCTTAGCTCCTTTTCGCCCCTCGCGATAGCTAAGTCAACCTCACTCAAACTCGTGCTAATGTGGGAAAGGATTGGCAAGGAAACAAAGAAGAAAGGAAAGAACTTTGAGAGAAAGCTTGTTGATATGCTTGAAAGCTTAAAACTCTTGGATGATTAACAAATGAGGATTCTACATCTATTTATAGCCTCTCACCTCCTCAATGGACGGTGGAGATTGACTTGATCCTACGGTAGGGAAAGATTCTCTAGAATTCTCCATAATTTCCTACCTAACATGGAAGACTCTAGAATGATTCTAGAATATGTACAAGTCTTGAGTGTTCTAGAATAATCTACACTATTCTATCAACCTCCAAGACCAAGTGTGGCCCAACATAGCCAAAATAGCCCAAAGTGTGGGGAAAAGGCCCAATTTCGTGACATTCTCCCCCACCTATTCTGGCGTCGTCCTCGTCGCCTCGTACGCGTTGAGATGTTCTTCGAACTGCCACAAGTCTTCAGCTAGTTCCCATGTTGCCTCGGACTCTGGTAGTCCCTTACACTTGATTAAGTACTCGGTACGCGGTGGGACTCCTCTCTTATGGACCGTCCTTCTTGTTAGCACCGTTTCCACCTCTTTGTGGTAAGACTTGGTTACTACGGGAGGTGCTCGATGCGAATACCCTCAGCTTGGGTCTTCCCTGTCGGCATGATATGGCTTAAGCATACTTACATGGAAGATCGGATGAATCTTAAGTGTCCTTGGCAAGTCTAAGCGATAAGACACTTTACCCACCTTGGTAAGTACCTGGAACGGTCCCTCGTATCTCTGTATTAGTCCTTTGTGAACGCTTTAGAGAGCTTTGAACTACTGTGGCAAAAGCTTCACAAGGACTAAGTCTCCAACGTAGAACTCTCAATGTCGCCTCTTCTCGTCCGCCCACTTCTTCATCTTCTTCCTCGCTTTCTCTAAACATGCGCGGGCGATGTCGGCGTTCTCCTTCCATGACCTAGCCATCTTGGTGGCTCCGGGACTTTTTCCCTCGTCAAGTGGCATTGTCAATGTGTGCGGCGTGAGCGGTTGTTGTCCGGTCGCAAGCTCGAACGGACTTCGGCCTGTGGCTTCACTCCGCTGCAGGTTATAAGAGAATTGGGCGACGTCTAGCAACTTTGCCCAATCTCGCTGGTTAGCACTCACGAAGTGCGGCAAGTAACATTCCAACAAAGCGTTCACCCATTCGGTCTGCCCATCAGTTTGAGGGTGAAAGCTTGTGGAGAAATTTAACTCGGTGCCAAGGAGCTTGAATAATTTCGTCCATAGGCGTCCGGTGAATCGAGGGTCTCGGTCACTGATGATGCTCCTTGGTAAGCCCCAATTCTTCACGACGTTCTTGAAAAACGCTCGCGCGGCCTCCTCCGCAGTGCAATCCTTGGGGCATGATATGAAAGTCCCATGCTTGGAAAATCGGTCCACGACGACCATGATCGAACCGTATCCTTCGGACTTGGGTAATGCACTAATGAAATCCAAGGTGATTGAATCCCAAGGTCTTTGGGGAACTGATAAAGGTTCGAGTAATCCCGCCGGCTGTCAGTTCTCTACTTTGTCTTGTTGGCACACAAGACAAGTCTTCACATAAAACTCCACACTATCCTTCATATGGGGCCAAAAGTATGCCGTCTCTAGCAATGACATAGTGCGCTTTTGACCCGGATGACCGGCCCACTTGGTGTCGTGGCATTCTTTGATAAGGTCTCGCCTTAAGTTGTCCCACTTTGGAACATAGATTCGCAGTCCCTTGGTGTAGAGTAGACCATCCTCTACCCAAAACCGTTGGGTTTTGCCATCGCTAGCCAGCTTTACTAATTCTCTTGTCAGTGGATCTTGCTCAAGGCCCTCCTTGATGCATTTTAACACGGTTCCCTTGGCTAGAGAGATCGCGGCAAGCTCTGTCTTTCGACTTAAGGCATCGGCTACGACGTTGGCTTTGCCTGGCTTGTATTCCAACGTGTAGTCGAACTCGGCTAAGAAGTCTTGCCACCTAGCTTGTTTTGGTGACAACTTCTTCTGAGTCTGAAAATAACTCGTCGCCACATTGTTGGTTTTGATGGTGAAGTGTGCGCCGAGTAAATAATATCTCCATACCCGCAAGCAATGGATGATGGCCGTCATCTCCTTCTCTTGCACCATGTATCGCCTCTCGGTGTCATTCAGCTTGCGGCTCTCAAATGCTATCGGATGTCCCTCTTGCATTAGTACTCCCCCGATAGCGAAGTCAGATGCATCGGTATGCACCTCGAACGACATGGTAAAGTCGGGTAAGGCAAGACAGGTTCTTGGCTAACTGCTACCTTCAGGTCCTCAAAGGCCTTCTGACATTGTTCGGACCACTCCCATGCCTTCCCCTTCTTGAGTAGGTCCGTTAATGGTGAGGCTCGCGCCGAATAACCCTGTATAAACCGACGATAATAGTTTGCTAAACCAAAGAAGGATCTTATCTCAATTACCTTGGTCGGCGGCTCCCACTCGGTTATGGCCTTGATTTTGCTCTCGTCCATTAATAGCTTCCCGTGGCCGATTACATGTCCAAGGAAGTGTACTTCCTCAGTGGCAAATGTGCACTTTTCCTTCTTGACGTACAGCTCGTTCTCTCGAAGTATCTTGAACACAATCCTCAAGTGGTCTATATGCTCCTCCATGGAGTTACTATATACCACGATATCGTCCAAGTACACCACCATGAACTGGTCCAAGTACGGTTGGAAGAGCTTGTTCATGAGCGTGCAAAATGTTGCCGGTGCATTGGTTAGACCAAAGGGCATGACCAACCACTCGTACGATCCGTATCGAGTGATGAATGCGGTCTTTGTCTCGTCGCCTTCTGCTATTCAAACTTGGTAGTAGCCTTTTTGCAAGTCCATCTTTGTGTACACCTTGGCTCCTCCAAGTCTGTCAAATAAATCGACAATCAAAGGGATCGAGTAGCGATTTTTAATGGTTACCTTGTTAAGTTCCCGGTAATCGACACACATGCGCAACGACCCATCGTGCTTCTTTTGGAAGAGTACCGGTGCGCCATACGGTGCCTTCGAAGGTCGAATCATTCCCATATCGACTAGCTCCTTGAGTTGCCTTCGAAGTTCCTCAAGTTCGGGTGGGGCCATTCGGTAGGGTGCCACGGCAGGCTTGGCACCGGGTTCCAACTCGATCTTGTGATCCACTTCAAGCCTTGGTGGAAGTTTATTTGGTAACTCAAGCGGCATTACGTCCTTGTTCTCATCTAAGACTTCACGGATGATCAATGGTAGGTCATCCGTTTTCTCGATCTCGTCATCTTCCTTTAGCATGGCTAAGTAAGTAATGTCCCCTTTCTTGATGCCT